GGGTTTGTTTTTTCTCTTATAAGGGTGTTGTTATTGTTGTCAGGTGCTGTTGAGTCGATTCCAACTCATAATGACCCCATATGACAGAGCAGAACTGCCCCATAGGATCTCCTAGGCTGTAATCATTATAGGAGCAGATTGCCAGGTCTTTCACGGAGCTGCTGGGTGGGTTTGAACTGCCAACCTTTTGGTCAGCAGCCGAGCACTTAATCGTTGCATCACCAGGGCTCCTTTTTATAAGGATAAGGGAATTGAAATGAGAAAATGCAGGTAGAATGATTAGGATAGTTCTTGGCACAGAGTAAGGGCTCAGTAACTCTCAGCTGCTGGCAGTATGCTGTTTCTCTTTCCCTCTTCCCTTTCATTCCCTCTCCACTCCTCCTCTTCTCTCTAAGCTCCCAGAGATGCCATTTCGATAACTGGGGCCAGCCCCTCCCCGCACCCCATAGTCGCCCTTGCGGGCTGATGAAAGCAAACTCCAGATACCTCCCTTCTCAGCCAGCTCCCTGGAGGCTGCCTTCTGTTCTGTCTCTTCCCGTCGCTTATGCTGGTGCTCACCCTTGGTTCCCAGGTCGCTGCCTCCATACCCTGGTGACCATCTTGGTTATCTTCACAAGCATCCCTCACCCCCATTCTGTCGTCTTTGCCCCAGACCGTGTTCTGGCTTCGGATTCAGATTTTTATTCTGTGGTCCCACAGCTGCTTGGTCGTTTGCTTGGATGTTTCTTGATGTCTCGACTGTTAAATGACCTGCTCTAGCCCCTTCCAGGAATCCCTGAGTGGTGCAAATGGTGAATGAACCTGGTTGTTAACCACAAGGTTGGAAGTACAAGTCCACGCAGAGGTGCCTCAGAAGAAAGGTCTGGTGACCTGCTTCTAAAAAAAATCAGCCATTGAAAACCCTGTGGAGCACAGTTCTACTCTGACACACATGACGTTGCCATGGTTTAGTTTGGTTTTAGCCCCCTCCAAGGGAGCCCCAGAAACCCTGGTGGCATAGTGGTTAAGAGTTCAGCTGCTTAACCAAAAAGTTGGCAGTTTCACTCCACCAGGTGCTCCTTGGAAACCCTATAGGGCAGTTCTACTCTGTCCTATAGGTTCGCTATGAGTTGGAATCGACTCAATGGCAACGGGTTTGGTTTTTGGTTTTAAGAGAACCCTGGACCTGGTGGACTAGGCCTAGCCGCTGTTTGGGAGGGAGGCAAAGAGGTTTCTGCCTCAGAGAAACAAAAACCACTCCAAGTATTTACTACAGAAAGAATTTTTAATATACTTTATTTTTTATAAGAGTTTCAAATTTACAGAAAAATCGAGAGTTCCCATACACCCTGCACCCAGTTTTCCCTGTTATTAACATCTGACACGAGCATGGTGTATTTGGTACAATTAATGAACCAATACTGATACATTATTATTAACGAAAATCCATGCTTTATTCAGGTTTTCTTAGTTTTTTACCGAGTGTCGGTTTTTTTCGTTCCAGGATCCCATCCAGGATATCACATTACATTTAGTCATCACGTCTCCTTCGGCTTTTCTTGGCTCTGACAGTTTCTCTGACTCTCCTTGTCTCTGATGACCTTGGCAGTTTTCAAGGACTGGTCAGGTACTCTGTCGGGTGCCCCTCTATTGGAGTTTGCTGATGTACACAATTTAATGCAGGGAATTAATTACACAGGTGATGGAGGATCTGAGAGGCAAACCGAGCAAGGTGAAGCTGCCCAGAGATGAAGCCCAGCCAAAAGCCAATACTGTCTCCAAGCGGGAGAGTTAACGGGGAGCGGCAGTGTCACCTGAGCCCAGGGGCTGAGGTCAACCATTAGAAGCTTTAGCCAGATGCAGCCCCTGCCGGAGAAGTCTTCAGACGCAAGAGGGAGGCCAGGACTTTCCCTTCCAGTCTCCCTCCAGTGCCTCTTACTGGCCATAGTCAGCCATTATGACCCTGTGAAACTCGGTGTGTCAGCTCCCAGCGATACGGAGCAGGGGGCCGAGTGGAGAACGGCTCTGAAGACAAACTGGCCCAGGACCAGGACAGCTGGCATTTGAACACAGAGCACTGGGACATGATTTTATTTCAGCACTTACAACCCTACTCTGCCCCTATTTGCCTGTCCACAGGCTCTATGTGAGAAGGGGTTCTTTGAGGCATAATTTATTTTTCTGGAGTCTAGAACAGTGCTTGGCTCCTATTAGGTTTTCAATGTTTAACATATACATGAATGAGTGAATGAGTGAATGAATGAATGAATGGCGGTTTCTTTTGACCAGTACCTCTTCTGGTGTGCTCTGGCTTTGAGGATTTGCTCACCGCCAGCATTTCTTTGCAGCTTCTCATCACCTTCTGTTGGTGCTAAGGTTACTTTGAGCCTAGCATTTGCAGCATTTGAAGGCCATGTGGATGGTGTAACTGTAAAGTAATTAGACCAGTTTTCAACAAAGGGATCGAATGAATTCATCCAAGTAAGGTTTGCGTTCAGCCTTGCAGGCAGGTTGCACACCTCTGCCAGTGACGCTACCATGCCTAGCCTCTTCCTTAAGAGCCTCACAAGAAAAGGAATGCTGCGTAGCTGTTAAGGATAAAAGGTTTGCCTCTGTCTCTTCAGTTAAATGTCACCCAGTCCTTCATCTGGCTGGTATTTGGGTGGGTTGGGATGTATCATCAGAGAAGCTACATTTCCTTTCAGCAGAGATGAGGAGGAAGTGGATGGCCACAAACAGAACTGACTGGTGAATTTCCCATGGGTGCAGGAGGGCTGAGCAGTGATGCCCTGGAGCCCGTTGAAGCTCCTGTTGTCACCAGGCCTGAGCAGGGACACCCTGGGTCTCACTAATAGGCTGTCTTGTATCCAAAACCCTGAGGTCCCAGGGTCTGTGCGGCCTCTCAGTGCTGGGACTGCATGTAGAAAACCACATGGCACTTGCGAAAACCTTACTTCTATGGTGCATAAAGTAAACTCAGTTCTTGTCTCTGATGAGCAAAAAGCCACGTGGGTGACCTTAGCGATGCTTAGCCTCCAAGTTTTACGCTTTCTGTCTTCCAGGGTGATCTGGACAGTCACAGGACAGAAATCTGGCCAGTCACAGGACAGAAATCTGGCCAGCGTGGGTCTCACAAGCCATCTTTCTCATTTAGCAGAGACGAAAATATTTTCACCTAGCCACATCTTTCTATTCTGGTAAATAGTGGCTCTAATGCCTGTAAGAAATGATGACTATAGAAATTTACCTGCATTTTCCTTTCAGATCTCTCATTTCCCACAGTATGTGTAGAGAAATAGTTGGGAGGCCAGGTGGTGGTCTGGGAAGTGTTGAAGACCGAGGCTGGAATTCCAGCTCTTGTGCTCACAGGCTGTGTGATTTTGGGCAAGTCACTTAACCTTTCGGAACCTCCACTTTCTCTTTTGAAAATTGGGGATTGTACTACTATTTATCTTCTCCCAGAGGTGTGATAAAGATCATGTGAGATAATACGAGAGTACTTTGAAGACTGACAAGTGTAACATATTATCAACTTGTTCTTTGCTAGAACTAAGGCAGCAGAGAAGGTGCCTTTGATGTTTAATTAATACTAAAAATCTTCCATTATATTTATTTAGCTATAATTGAAGAAGGGGAAGGGTAAGAGTACTTTTCAAAGGGACTTTTTCTACTCCAAAAATAGAACCCAGAAAGCACATATTTGATTTTCCTTTTGGCGTCAAACCACAATGCCATTGTTATTAGCAGTTTTGCAGAATTATGACCTTCAAACTTGGTGATATCAAACAGTGAAAGAAAGCACCCAGTCTCGGAGTCTTTCAAGCAGGCTCTTCCAACCAAAGCAGTTTAAATTTTCAATTAAGGCCTAATGGAATTGTCCTCCTAAATGAACAAGTTTCAAACTTGTCTCCCAGGTGGGTTGTGAGGGCTAAAGGCACTGAGAGGTTGCTGTAAGCCCTTTGGGGGCAAATGAAGAGGCTCTTCTATAGGGCTTCCTGTAACATCCTTTCCCCACTTATAAAAGAGAAACCTAGAACTTACACTTCCCCTCGTTGTACACGAGCTGATTTGTGTATAAATCTAGGAACGTAATTTACTTTCAGTTTACCGAATTTGTGAATTTTTGCATTCGTTTTAATTTGTAATTACCTTTTCTCTATGAGGCGCACCATATGCCACCATTAATTCTTTCGCGTTGATTTCTTGGGAGATACATGAGTGCATATTTTGATGCAATTTTGGAGGTCTTTTAAAAATCAAATGACTACGTGTTTAGCCATATGGGGCTTTGTTATTTAAAATAGCATACTAGAAAGTAAGAGAAAGCAAATATGCAAAAGGACTTGTTAACAGGAAAAAATTATCATTGGAAAACTGTTTAAAACATTGTTTCAAACACATACATTTTCAACCTTCTTAAAATCATTGTGTTATATTTTTGAAATCTCTGTTTATTGATGCTGTACTGCCTTCTATTTTCTGTGAATGTAGAATACTGCAAGCGCTCGGGGCAAACCGACGTACTCCGGTTCCTGCCCTATACTTCACAGTGGGACTGCAGATATTAACATACGCTTCTAGGAATTCAGTTGCACCCGATGTTTTTCCTTTAACATCCTGTGTCAGGCTTTGACATTAAGCTCCGGTTCCTCCGCATACACCGTGGCTGTTTTTGAGAAGCGCCGGCGAGGTTTTCAGTTTTCTAGGGGGTTCACGGTGCCACCGAGGCGCCTGCGGT